GTGAGAGAGAAATTTCTGTTGTTTCTCAGTCACCGGTCCATGGTGTTCTGTTTCAGCAGTCTGAGTGGACTAACGCGCTGTCTTTGCTGGGCATTTCCCCGCACCCCTCATTAAACTCTCCTGAATCGGCGTCCCCTCCCTCATAGTGGGATGCCAGGTGCCACCCGATTTTGACCAAGATGGAATTTCTCTTTCTGCTTCTGGAATTCGAGTCATCCCCGGGAGAAGTAGCTACACGATCCTCGTTCCTCGGATATTTATTCTTATCTTAAAGAATATGTTAAAATGCTTGTATTATATTTTAAATTTTCTTTAAAATTTTTGAATTTCCTATATTTATCAGTCCCCGTTTGTAATGTTGCGTTCTACATGCACTATGCACGAAGGAAGCCAAGTGGGAATAAGTTTGTTTTGTTCTTAGTTCAGACTTCAGCACATCAAGCTTAGGTTTTCACTCATTTCTCCACGTGAGTCATCTTTTGCTCTAAGTGTGAAAATGCTGGAATGTGCTTGTGGACCCACACCCAGCAGTCTTACCTGTGATCATCTGTTTGATCTTAGGGAAATCATGTAACCTCTCCATGGGTCAGGCTCCCCATCTGTAAAATGGGTATCCAATTAGAAACTGCTTCCAAGGGCTGTTGTAGAGCTAAAAGACCAAACATGATAAAAGTGCACCGAATCCTGCCGTGTGGTCAACACTCAGCAAGTGGCACATACTGTCGTTGTTGATGTTCTCGTTGTTTTAAAGGCCAGTTCCTAAACAGGTGCGTGGTGCTTCTCGGGGTTTCTGCAGCCCAGGTCATTGTCTTTATCCTACCTTGTTTGTTGGGCGCTTCTCCCACCTCCATGATGGACTCAAAGAGAACTGGTCGGACCCTCCCTGCCCACTCTTGTCACACGAGCCCCAGCTGCTCCGTGCTTAGAAGTTTGCTGCTCTGACACTGGGGCCAGTAGACAGAGGGAGGACAGTAACCTGACACAATCGGACCTGAGTGGCGTGTGGGAGCAGATCAAATGTGATTAGGAGAGGGTCCGATATTCACCGGAAAATAGCAGGGATTATGAACACACTCTCCTGGGAAGGACAGTCCTCCATAGCACAGAATTTTCCATGGGGCGGGGGGCTACGTGGTTTCACATCCTTAGAGATAAGGGCTGCAAGAAGGAAAGAAGGTAGGTAGGAGAGGCTGAGGATGAGCAGACAGATAGAAGGCTGGACAGGTGCATTGAGCCTGGTACCGACAGCCTGTGGCTAAGACAGACGGACAGAGCCCGAAGCTGAGAAGATCCAATCATGCTGGGACGTGCATGTTAAATCCATTCCAGTATTCTGATCTCAT